TATAGAAATATTTACATTATTGTAAATACTTTTGTATTTGTTGCATTAAGTTTTCATAATTTGCAATTTATTTTTTTCAGAAAAATGTATTTTAGGAAATTAAAATTTAATAATCAAATATGAAGCATTATAAATTTATTTAAAATTTTAATAATATATTTTCGAATATTAACTTTATGAAATTTTTAATCAAGAGTAATTCAGAATTATTAATTTAAAGTAGTTTAAGAAACTTTAATAAGTTTTTAATGTAATAGTGCAACATACAATTAATAATTCTTGCTAAAATAAAATTTTAAATGCTATTAAAGTTATATGGATAGAATATATTTATTTTTAAAAATACAGAATAATTTTAATTTAAGGTTTATATGCATCCAGTTTTAATTGGTAGAGAAAGACTTTTTTTTATTTATTTTGTCAAACTTTATTATTAATCAGTTAAATAAATATATTTTTTTAATATTGAAAATCTTATTTTAAAAAATACAGTATAAAGAAATAAATCTTTTGTTTTTAAAGAATTTTATTACTTAATTGCCTGTTGCTGTAATTAGAAACTAGCAATAAAATCGTTTGCCAAATTTGTTTCTTAGTTTTCATTCAGCTTTTAACTCTAATTATTGTACTGTATTTTGATATTGTTTATAATTTGAGACTACCCCTCCCCGTTTCTCCTGATGATACATCTTATTATTCATACCTATTATTTCTATACTGTTGCTGTAGCTTATGAGGTAGCAATAGTTAATACGCGCATCATTAAAAACTCTTTAACAATCACAGACATGAATAGGTACAGGGTGATTTATAATCACGCAAAACTTTAAACTTTAATAACTTTTCAGCTGAATGAGATAGAAATAAAATTTAAAAGGTACTACGTAGTACAATGTTTACATTTTTTATGTCGACGATTGATTAATGTTAACAGTCATTTTCAAAATGGTAGCGTTCACTTTAGAACAACTTGTGTTTATTGTAAAGAATTATTATCAAAATTTTAATTCTCCAATTGGTGTGCTATCAACACTAGCGGAGCTGTGCTATTTATTCTTCGAAAAGAACGTTACTTCTTCTGCATGTGTTAATTATTGAAAAAGAAGTTTTATCTTAAAATGCTTGTCGGGTATAAACATCGTCGTGCTTGGTTTATGCAAGATGATGAAAGGCCCCATCGCACAAAGCAAGTGTTCAGAAGCCTTTACAGCAGGGGTGTCCAACCCGCGGCCCGAGTAAAGTTCCAACGCGGCCCAATAAAGGTGTAAACAAAGTGGACAAATGTTTTAATTTTTTTTATTATTTATTTATTTCAACGGCATAAACTCAGAAATGGTTTCACATAGCCATAAACCTTTATTCATATTTTAGTTTTGAGTGGAAATGAAATATTTTCATGTACTTAAAGATGTGTAAATGAGGAAGGATTACTAAATAAAGCTGGAGTTATAACTCAAAGGATTATAGACCCAAATTTGGTGAAAGGAGAAAAAGGACAAAAGATAAAAAGTTGTCAGAAAGGTTAAATAGTTCTTCTGTTAGGCAAATATTGAGTCTTAATTTTCCAACCTTTCTCACTTCTTTATCTTTTGTCCTTTCTCTTAATTTTTCCGAATTTGGCTCTATAATCCTTTGAGTCACAACTCCAGCTTTTTTTAGTATTCTTTCCAGCGTTGCAAGATTTGGCTACATTGCGCCAAATGTGGCTACTTTTTTTAGTTTAACGTAAAAAAATATCTTTTGGCGCTTTGGCTACTTTTGGGGCTACATATCATTTATAAATAAATTAGTTGAATGAAAATGCACTTTAAAATGGTGTTTCGTCACTTTTTATTAGAGACTCAAATAAACCAAATATTTGCGTTTTATCAAATACTGTAAATGAATTTATCTATTTCTAAGTAAAAATTGAAAGTGTCTGTAGAAGTAATTTTTTAAAATATCCTGTTTCGTGATAAAGTTTTAATACTTATTATTATAATCTAGACACGTTAATCCTTAAATATACTTGTATATTGGGCCACAAGTATATATAATATATACTTGTGGCCCAAAACTCCTTGACTTCTTCCAACGCGGCCCGGAGAAACAAAAAGATTGGACACCCCTGCTTTACGGCATGTTTGAGAAGCGTGTAATCGGATTAGATTATGAAAAATATGCTGGTGGGGGTGTAGAGTGGTTGCCTTATAGCCCTAACTTAAAACCATGTGATTTCTTTTTAAGGGGCTATCTTAAAGATAGAGTTTATCACAATGTTCCTACAACTATTGAAGAGTTGATAGACACTATAAAAAAATAAATAAATAAATAAAGGTAAAGGCTTCTATATCATTCAAAGTATCTGCGTCAAATTTTCTACGAATATTCTTCGATACTCTACAAAAAATACCGTAGGATGCAAAAAAACACCCCAACCATCCCTAAAGCCCATCCCCATTTAACTTAAGCCCGAATAATTTTTTGTGTTTTGCAGTTTCATTATTGTAAATACTCGGGTCAATAAATATATATTTTTTAGATACTAAGACCGTTGTTTTTACCATTCCCTCCCCAAAAACCCGAGCAATAAAATAAATTTATTAATCAGTTTTTAAAACTATTATTTTAAAAATTAGTGCATACAATCTGTGACATAAGACGTATGTACCGGTATGTTCTACATATTTTTGTGTATGTTTGGATGTACGGTGTAAAAGTATACATTTAAGTATACATAAATTACGATATATAATTTCTAAATTTAATTTTTAACTATCAATTTTTAATATAACTTATGAATCGGTCGGTATATGTTTATATATTTAAATTATAGGTTAAGTAATTTAGATGCGAGAAACATTCCTTCCGGCAGTTTTAATGACTGGAAAGTCCAGAGAAATTAATATGGTATAAATTTTCTACATCACTTAAATATTAGGCGATAACCAAACACGAAAATTTTATAAAATTGAAAAAGTAGGACGGAATATTTACACGTAATAATAAAATTGAACGGAAAAAAATGAGCGTGTTAAAAAAACAAAATGCCATTTTCTTCAGCATTCAGTCGTTGTTTAGTTATGTTTTATATATATTTTTTTCCCTTCGTTTTTAATGCCGAATTATTGATTTTAATAAAAATAATATTTATTTTATCGAATCAGTAGAATAATAACTTGCAGAAATAAGCTATTTGCCTTGATCTGGTCGTTTCAGAGCTTAGTACTGTAGTAAAGTTTACACTTTTCCGTTAAAATATCTGAAAGAATGCATTTTTGGACTGTTTCCAATATTTTCTGTTGTTCTCCTTTGCCAAAGGAAAGAAGAATAAAAAAAAAAAGAAAAAAAAAAACAAGGGAGCATTTTTATAACATTATTGATTTATTATTATATCGAGGCATAACTTACATTTCTAAATAGTTAGACCTTTTAAAACGCGAAACAAGGCCATTAAAAACGCGATAGTATTTGCAGAAAATGAAATTTATGCGATTGCTGAAAGTAAATTATCGGCGGCGGAAGTAAAAGTTTAAGAAATGTTCGACTTTAAGCCATCGCATCGGCGGTTATAATAGAAGTATTGGTCGACTCGGCTGCCATTATTACTATGGTTGGCGACGGACACATCGACCAGCGACCAGACGGCGATGCACGAGGTCAGGGAGCTGCAGACGTACGAAGATGAGGAGGAGGAATCTGCTGGATGTTGTTGTCTTTCTAGTATTTGTCCGGAGCCATATCTAGTGCAGGTACGATTACGTCGACGGGCGGCATCTTAAATTTTAACGTTATCTAATTAAAATTTTCGCCACTCTCTTAAAGATTTCGGCGGGTTGATTTTTACTCTACATTCCACGTGATAAATCGAGTAAGAAAAAAAATTATTTACGCGTCTTAAAATTAGACGGATAATTGAAATTATCCTCCTAACTTTCTCCAAAGATAAAGAAGATGAAAAAAGCGATTGATGAAAGTAGCAGCGATAGCGCGTACAAAAATTAATCTCTTTTAACTAGAATTCATCAGTATTTGCGAAGAGGTGATAATTACTGAACGGTTCGTAAAAAAAAAGAACGAAGTTATTAAGTATAATCGAACGTGTCGCCATCCAGACGTCTTCTGTCAAATATGATCGTCCATCTTGAGATGATCTGGTATTGCGATAAGAATTTTTTTTTTCTATTTTTTTCCCTTCTCCTCCCCGTTTTATCGATTATTATAATTAGTTACGAATTCTCAGTTGTGACTTATCCTGTTTAAATCAGATTTCAATAAGGATGATGCGAAAGTGATGATGGAGACTGCGAGGAAACAATTTACATTTTTTTAACTTCGGCACGATATTTAATTTATTTACTGTATTATGCGCGATGTATTTTTTTATTTTATTTCGTAACTTATTTCATAACAAACTTGGCTATTAATCTTTACGTTGCAAATATCGATTAATTGAGATTGCTGGCATTCTTCTATTAACATTGAAGATTTCATAGCTTTCCGAGGAATATTTATCAAACTCTTAGTTTTATTGCAAAGCATTTTGTCTTCCTACATAATGTAAAGTTTAGGCTCTTTGCCAGATTACGTTTTAGTGTAGTCTTTAGGCTTTTATGAGCAAATTTTATTAATTAATATTCCTTGTTGTTTTGGAATTTCTTTTTTTTTTAAATTGTTTATCAATCATACGTATATTAATATTTAAACTAAAATAAAGTTTTTTTTTTTTTTAACCATTCTTTCGTGCTTTTAAATTAACATTTCTGAAATCTAATTTACACTTATAAAATTTAAATTATTAACTTTTTAATAATGTAAATGAAGTAATGTGTTTTTTAACGATTTTATTTAACTTTCCTTCTATCGTTCTCAAGTCTTGCAACTCAAATTTCGTCCATTTTTAATTAAGATATGATGCTGAAACTTTTGGGACATGTCTAAGTCCGTTTAATGATGCTTTAGGGGTGCTCTTTAAGACATTAAAGCCATCTCTTTCCACCTTAAAACCAGATAAATTTAACCAAATGGAGAATTTAATTATGATGTGTGTATGTTAAATGCACTGTAATGATGTACTGTACATGGGGGTGAGATCACCCCACAATCATCCACCCCCAATTTCGAGAAACATGACCAATGAAAGCTTTTTTTTTTTAAATAAATTAAACTAGCTTAAAGATTGCAGTCTTTAAACTAGTTTAGGAGATTGCAGATTTTGATATGTAGTAATTTACAATAATTTAGTGTAGATTTAATGTGTTGAGCAAATTGTTTATTTCTAATTAATGTTTTTATTTTATAAAATATTTTAATTATAAAATTCCAGTTTCGATTTCTATAGATTTTAATTTATAACTTGAAACTAGAATTTGCATTTTGCGTTGGTGTGTAATTTCACGCTCCAGTGATGGGCAGAGAATGAGAACATTTCCAAACTCTTATGATATGTAAAGTTTGTGGAAGAAAAATTTCTTCTTCTTCAATTTGCGAAAAATCTAAAATGTAATGTAAATGTAAATCATTTAAAACATTTTCTTAGCGAAAGATATATTTTGTATGTAAAAATATTTATTCCAATATTACGAATTTTTTAAACGTTTTATCGGTATTAAAACTATAAAATTCATTCTCTGAGTGGTTTCATTTTAAATTCTAATAATTTTAAGATAAATGCTTATATAAACATAATAAAATCTTTACTTTTCAGTTATTGATTATTTATTTATAAATGACACTGCATAAATTTTATAATTCAGGTTAAAAAAAGAATTTTTTTTTTACTGTACCTTCTACAAGAATTATTAACCTAATTTGTAATATTCTGAAGATTTTTACATATCCAGATTAAAATTTATTATTCATGAAATAGACTTGCAGGTGATGGAATGAAGATGCAGATTTCATCAGTGTTTTACTGAATGGCTTGGGGAGTTAGACTGCCCTAGGGGCATCGTAACACTTTTTTTTAAATAAAAAAAAAGTTAAATTGGTAGAATGTTTTAGAGTATATAATTATGTGATCATCAAATTTAAGTATTCTTATTCATAAGAAATGACTTAAATATTTACCAAGATTAATGATGATCTATATTGTGTGTAACATATAATTTGTATACAATAAGAATAACAAGATTGATATGTTTTAAAGTATTGTGAAAAGATTAATATGACTTTTCATATTTTTAAAATATTAAGGTTAGAATATATGTATCATGTAAAATTGATGAATTTATGGAATTGATCAGAAAAATGATGGATATAACTTCATATATTTTAGAATGTCAAAGTTCAGAAATGTACATTTTCTTCTTTTTTTAGATGATTATATCAGTGATTTATCATCATTTTCATTTAAGAAACTATTTTAAAAATTAGTTTTTCCTCTCCATTTGAATTTTGGCACTGTTTATTGCCACGTTATCTACAATATTTCATCCTTCCTTGGAGGAGAAAATGATTTTGTTTTTACATTTTCCTATAAAAACATAATTTTTGATATGTTATAGTTTTATGTATAAAAAAAGATATTTATTTGCATGTTAATTATTAAATTAGTAGTTTATAATTTTTAATGTATATTTGATTTATATTAATTATAATTTTTTAAAAGTTTTGCTGAAATTATTGATTTATTTATTTGAATAAAATATAATTTTTTTTCACATCACTTCTTACAATATTTAAAATTTTACACAAATCTAAATACATTTTTGGTATTACAAATATTTTAAACATTTTTAAAGTAACATATTATATGATTATAGCTATGTTAATTGAAAAAGATAGTAAAAAAATTTATCCTTTTCTATTTCTTTGATGAATAAATATCATTATATTTCAGGTGATAGCCTTCATTTGTGGTTTAATTGTGATTCTTTTGATGATTTTGTGCCTGGCTTCTTCAAATTGGTTGACAGCAGAAAAATTTCGTCAAGGATTATGGGAACAGTGTATTGATGATGATTCACCTTTACCATTACCATTCAATATTGAAAAGAAGCCTGGATGTTATCCAGCAAGAGAGGCCTGTAAGTTATTTTGCTTTTAATAAGTTTTAGTTATATTTTTTTTTTCTTGTTTGTAGAACCTACAAACAAGAAAAAGCCTCCCAGGAGGGCTTTCTATAGAAAACTAGACCCTATTTTAGTGTTACAAATGTGAAGAAAACCTGGAAAACTCCATTTGACCAGCCTTTTCGTTTCTTTTTAATTTAACTAATTGTAGTTTGAAATAAGAAGTTTGTTTAGTGAATTAAATAACATTAATTAGTTATTAGTATAGTAATAATTTTATTGATAACGTAAAGTTAAGTTCGAATGCATTACACAAATATAATAATCTTGACTTTCAGTTTGTTATTGTCTCTCTTAATTCTTTATTCAAATTTTATTTTTAATATTTGGAATTGTATTTTAGAAGTCAGAATAGTTAAATTCTATGTTTCTCACTATTTTAATCATTATACTGGTTATTGAAACTTAAATTTTAGGATTTATTTTAGTCTCAAATTATAAGCAGTTAATTACATTATGATCTTATTTAATCAAGTAATAAGCAATATTTAATATAAATTAATATTATCATCATGAAACATTGAGTAATATATTATTTATTTAAAAAATAATTGAAATGCAAACTGAATTTATTATTTAAATTTTGAAATTAAAATAATGTAATAATTTTTTAATTAAAAATATTGTCTTTTTTAGCCTATATTCAAGCAGCAGCTGCTTTGTGTGTCATAACACTTATCTTTGATCTTGGAGCAACTGTGATGACTGGCTGCGGACTCTGCAGCAAAGATCCAACTAGAAAATACAAACTTTATCGTTATGCATTATATGTCATGGTTGGTGCATGTGAGTATTTTAAGTAATTTTATAATATAATAAATAATAATCGTGTGCACATTTTAAAATTTTTACTATGAAATTTAATCTTTTTTTTATTCAGTTATAGGAATCTGTATACAATTTTTTGCACTTTAAACTGAAATTTATTTCTTTAAAATTGTTAGAAAATTTTGAAATTAAAATGTTTTTGTTAGCTAAAATAAAATAATAGAGATGTCAGTATGTGAGATTTTTCGTTAGTTCATATATAATAATTTTTATAAAATTTATTTTAAAAATATTTTACTTTATAATATTTATTTTTCATTGAATAATTTTACAATATATAAATATTAGAAAAATGTATTAAAGCACTAAATAAATTTATTTATATGAATGTACCAAAAGTAAAAAGAATAATCTTGATATAAATAAGTAAACTGCATTTAACAGTCACATAATGTATTCTATTTAATGTACATTGCCTTGATGTTTTGCCAAGTTTGTAAGCTGACTTAGTATCAGTATTGTAGTCTGAGATTTTTTTTTTTACTTTTCTTTTATCCAATTCAAATAAAAATAGATACAAAATGAGTAATTATTTTTTTTTTAAATTGAAGTTTTGTGGTTTTAGTATTTTACGAAAAACAAGTTTAGTTGAAATCGTGTTTAGTAATTGTGTTAAATGCATGTATAAATTTAAATTGTAAAATTTTTTTAAAATTTAAGAAGTAACATGTAAAATATTCCAAAAATTTTAATTTTTTGATATTCCCTTCCAAATATATTATGAATATGTTAAAAGTTCTTTTAGCATATTCACAATATAAAAAAATTTTCAATATTCAATATAAATTTTTTACAGAAGAATTTTCTATACAATAAAACTTCTCTAACTCAAACATTTCTTTAACTTGAAGAAAATGAAGCACTTGATAGGTTTCAATGGAATAGCATAGGGGTTTAATGTCTCTAACTTGAATTTTCTCCAACTCAAAGTTTTTCCTTGTTCCCCAACACTGCTTTATGTTACATTCAACTTCCCCAACTTAAATTTTAATATTTATTCTATCCAAAGTGATCTTAATTATTGGATTTTCATGAAATTTTCAGAAAGTTGGTTGTATCTACTCTCCAAGACCAATTTTCAGACAGCATTCCAGTCCAAAGTGAGAGGTCCTCTTGTTTTATCTCAACAAGATGTACCTGCAAAACTGTTTGATTCAATTCATTACATTGAACATTTTGCTGAAAGGAGTTACACAAGCTGTTTAAAGAAAAATAATAAATTTATTGAAGATTATTTATATAATGCAAGAGAGGTAAAAGTACAAATCTGTTCAGAATCAGCATTTTTACTCTATTGTTCTCTAACTCAAATCATCTGTAACTCAAAGTTTTCCAGCCCCTTGGAGTTTTGAATTAGAGAAGTTTTACTGTATTTTGTTTGTTGACAAACATAACTCAGCCCGCAGAGCTAATTGGCAATATTAATTTGCTTTGTTACAGAGTACAATAGCTTAAGCTTGGTTTACACCATCATACAAACAAACCAAACACTAATCAAAATGAAACACTGTTTGCATCATAATACACGACACAAACTAAAATNAAGCCAAATGATTGTCAGATTAAATCTTGCTATATTACTGCTGCTATTAATAATTAAAATGTTAAATGATTTGGCCTAGAGGTAGGTATTAGCCATCTCTTATTAAATTATAATTAAATTAATTATAGATGATGCCTAACTCCTATCTCTAGGCCAAATTACTTAGCATTTTAATTATTAATAGTAGCAGTAATATAGCCAGATCTAATTTGGCTTTAACATAACTACCAGACTTGTAGATGTTTATATTTGTAAAGTTGTTGCTTGTACTTGAGTATTCTTTATTTTTGTATCTAAATACATTTTACACACTACATTTGGTGTGTAAAAATGTATTTAGATTGTATTAAAATGAAAATGAAAATTACAATACTTTATTTTTTAATAAATTAGACTAGAAATGTACTGAAATATTTTTCCAAAAATGCCTTTGGAAAATGGGACATGAATACATCAGAAAATATAGTGTTTACTATATAGATGTTCAGAAACTGTGAGTAATGTTACTAACTAAAATGGATTTATTTATAAATTCAAGCAAGAAAGAACAAAAAGTGTAAATAGTAAAAAATGAAATTTTCAAAGTTTTTATTATTTATACTTTTTGTTCTTCTTTCTTTCTTTTTTGAATTTATAAATAAATCCATTTTAGTTAGATATTCAGAAACTGTGAATAATTTTACTATGTAAAATATTTTTCAGGTCAAAGAACTATGCTAAATTAGATAATTACTAAATACATTACTTTATAAATTGAAACTTAAATCAAAGTAAAATCTATATATATATATATATATAAAAATGGACNATAAAACTTTATTATATTTATATATTTGTGTGTATTACTTAATTTAAAAGATACTATTAAATGTAAATATATGAAATTTATTGACATATGAATTTCTTAAGATTTATTGAAGAATATTTGCATTCATTCTTATAATTAATTATAGACAGATAGTCTGTCATCTATTAATAATCTTAATTATTAAATAATTTACAATGATAATTTAATTTAGAAACATCTGTTATAGAAAAAGTATGGTTTAGAGTGAGATTTGAAGTTAAGTTGCAATATATATAAATTTTATATTTATATAAAATTATATGAAAGAAATAAAACTTAAAGTATATGTTGCAAATTGTAATTTTTTAAAGAACTTTAAATTTAATAAGTTTATTATAGAATTTTTATCATTAAAAATTTGAACATCATTTGGATCAGCTTTAATGTTTATTGACATTATATTTTAATCTAAAGATTGTCAGCTAGTAAAACAACATTATCTTAACAAATAACATCATCAGAAAGTCTGTGAAAATTTAAATATTTCATATATATATCATAAATTTAAAATAAAAAAATGGTTCTTGGGTAGGGTGAAAAACATTTAATCATAAATATTTTTCTGTCATTAAAATATTCAATGAAATCTTCACAAAATTTATCATTTTTTTGTTGAAAAAAATTAAAAATAAACTTATTCTTTACAAAAGAAATTAAATAATGGATTGTATATTTAGAAAATTTCTTTCTCAATTCACATTATTTTAGACATTTCATTAGAAAATCTTCATTTCTATTAATTTTTTTTTTTTACAGATTAGTTGATCTTTTAATGTTTTTCTTTATTGTTTATAAAAGATATTATTACTAGCAATTATTGAATCATTAATAGGTTAAACTGTAGTATAATTAATAGGTTAAACTTTATTAAATTTATCTTAAATATATTATTGTTTTTATATAAAAACATATATGTGTTAGTCAAGAAAACAATAAATGTGTATATAATTTTATTTTCTATTTTCAGTATTATCAATATTAATTGCACTTGTCATATATCCTGCTTGCTTTGCTGCTGAGATTGAAGACAGCAACAGACAAGTTTGGGAATTTGGATGGGCCTATGGTGTTGGATGGGGAGCAGCAATCTTTTTGTTTGGTGCCATTCTTTTGTTACTCTGTGACAAAGAAACAGAAGAAATTTATTACAAGGAACGGACCGTCACTCATGATGATGGCAGTGCGTAACAAATCGACTGCACTGTATATATATCACATATCGTCCATCCAAAATCATTGTCCAGTGTGTTAAAAGTCACCTCTTTGTATGATCACTCCTGATAGATTCAACAATTTGAGCTGTGAAATAGTGACAGCACCAAAATCAGTTATTAGAAAATATACTTGTGTAATATTGACAATCCCATCTCCAGACATTTTATATTAACTAAAATTCCTTTAAATTAATATTCTCTCACTACATACATTTGCATTAACAAAAGAACTATAATATATAAATATTGCATAAAATAAAACTTTCTTTTTATTAAAAACCATTCAACATATTAACCATTAAACATGTGATCAAACATCACAGCCAATTATTCAGGGGTGCTATTGAAACTTCATTTAAATATATTAATGCTGCATACAATTTAAAAGCAGCAGTATATAATCTAAATATTTGCTAACGACAGGGTCCTTCCCCTATTTTCTACCTCAAAAGTTTTATCTCATTCATATTTAGATTTTTTGATAGGGTTGTTGTTATAAAGAAAAATAAAATCACAAATAAATATTGTTTATAAAATCTATTATTATTATTCTATATTGGCCTTTTTCGATTTGTGTTGTTTGAAAGAACACTGGCACAGGTTAATGAAAACTATATTGCTAATTAACTTATCAAAGACAATAAATTTGTTTCGTAATGGAATTTTTAAAATCTAGCATTGCTAATTATTTGTAAATTGCCAAATAGATACTACAAAGCTGTATACCAGAATGTGGTGATAGGAAGAATTTTGATAATTTTATTTGTTTAAATGTACTTAGTGTTATTTATTTGAATTATTTAAAATATAGGAAAATCAAATTTAAAATCTAAAATATTATCATCATCATGTATTTTATAAATAGAAATTTATTTGAATATATTTGTGATTGTGTGAAGTTTTAATTTATTGGATTGTTTTTGCAAATTGTCAAATTTTTGTTTTAAATATTATCTTTTTAAAAAAAAACAAAACAAAAATTTGTAATGCCAATTATTTTTAAGCAGGCATAAAATTAAGGATGCACATCAAACTGTGATGAAATATAATTTTTAGTTGTTAAAATTTTTAGTAATATACTGAAATGTGCTGAATATTCAGCATTGAAGGGCACAGTGTATAGTATTTGCAATAGATGTCATGTTCCTGAATTGCTGTCTTATAAATCAATACAGAAATTGTATGTATGTGCCAATCTAAGTTGTTAGGAAATAAAACTACATACTCAAGTTGTATAGTAATATTGTGTTTAAAATTATTTTGTGAAAATGTTATTTTTAACATTCTATAGTTTTTTGTTCTACAGTCTGAAATTTATATTGTTGTTCTCAGTTGTTTTTCCTGAAAATTAAATATTTTCCTGTCAACTTAGTCACCCTCCAGTACAAAGCTCAATTACGATAATTATAACATTTTATAGGAAAACACTGCCTTTCACTGCTCTTCATTTATAAGCAGCTTATGCATTGCTATGTTAAATTCAGTCTTTTTATCATATATTTACAAAATATAAGCACTTGTCAGCACCTAATGGAAGTTATTAAAATTTTGGTGAATACAACTTGTCTTTGTTCCATTTTTTTTTTTAATTTTAATTATATTGAACATTATTTTATGCAATAAAATTCACTTTATCTTATAATAAGTATTCATGTATTAAAGGATAATTTAATAATTTAGATTTTATAATTAAAAACTATCATAGGATGCTAAAATAATGTTTTTAAGTATAGTTTCTTTTTTTTTTATTTGAAAATTTGTTATAAAACATTTACTTTGGGACGAGTACACTCAAGATCACATGACTGTTCCAGATTGGCAGTACTGGTATATAAAAGTTTTAGATATGTAAAGAAGAATTTTCTCACATTAAAATAAAATTAGCTAATTAAATCTTTGTGTATTCATTAAATAAAATAAGAATACAATTTTTAGAAACTTCGGCAATAGAAATATTCAGACTTTGTTTTAAAATCCTATTGATGTGAACTGAAACTAGAATTGAAACATGAGTTTGAGAAAATTTTCTTTAGTCCCTTATTTAAAATGTGGAAAATTTATAATTAAACAAAATTAGCTTGTGATTACTTTCCAAATTAATTAAATTTGTTTACAATATTTAAATATTAACTGCATCTGACTTTTTAAACTGAAATTTTTAAATTTTATTTGAAAAATAAAACATTTATTTCTTTTAATACATTTTGAAAATAAAAATATTGTTTTTTCATTCACTTTTCCTCTTCAGATTTCAAATTTACATAAATAATTAAAATTAAAGAAATTTTAATTATTTATTATGAATTAGAAAAATTTATATATATCTTTATAATAAAAGTTTACTTATTTAGTGATTTGATTTTCCTCCAGTTATTCAGTTATTTAAAACAAAATTTTACATGAATTTAAGAAAACAAATTAAGCTTTTAATATATGAATGACATTCTGATCTCAGATGGCAACAATAAAATGATTTTGTCGACAATTTTCACGACTTTTATTGGATGAAGCAGTGAAATCTTATAAAATATAGCAAAAAATAGTTTACTAGATCTTTGCTTTTATGCTAATATTCAAACTTTTACTTTTATTATATTTCATAAATTATAAAAGGCTGAATCATTATTATTATTACTTATTAATTACTACTATATCTTTAAATAAGAAATAGTGTACTACTCCTAGATATAATATAAATCTAGAAATACATCTGTGTTGATAATGAAATATTTGTATACATCATTCTCTTCATTCAAACAATAGAACTTAAATAGCTTACTTCAATGTTTATTTAGATATTAGCATTATCTAGAATATTTTCCTCTTTTCATGTTATCAAACATTTGAGTCTGTATGATCAATATCTAAGAATATACTAAATGCTTGTATTTTACAAACTTTACATTCTGCAAATTGATTTAGCATTAAACATAGCATGAAACAGTTTTTTAAAAATGATAAATTTTTTATAAGTTGTACTTTAAAATATATAAAATTCTTAGCAATAAAACATTTTTATTGTGAAATTGTTATTTGTTTATTTTATTAGATCAAAATTGATTAATTCTGATGTATATGATTACAGAGCAAATATTGTTTTATTATTATCCTGACATATATTTTAAATTAATGCTTTGCTAGCTTATATTGCAATTGAAGATGAATGAAACATATTAAACTCTTTTAATTAAAATGGCTGAAGGTATTTTTTAAAAATTAAAAATTTTGAAGAAATTATTTCTACTTATTATTATAAGGTAAACTGTAACTCTTGTCTGCCTCTAAAAAGTTTTAAAATAAAATTATTTATTTAATATTGGAGAAAATGTCAAATTTTTTTTTTTAAATCAAAAACTTCATTGAAACTTCAGACTATGAGGCATTAAATAAAATTAGGAGAAATATTTTAATCTTGCAAGCACTTTCAACGTAAATATGTACGTCGTCTTCAGGCAATTCAATTTGAATTGTCTGAAGACGACATACATATTTACGTTGAAAGTGCTTGCAAGATTAAAATATTTCTCCTAATTTTATTTAATGCCTCATAGTCTGAAGTTTCTTAATGAAGTTTTTGATTAAGTTAACTGTTGGCGTGACATATGAACCGAGTATTTAATACACCTAACAAATTTCTTTCTCTCTAAAACCTGTTTAAATGTCAAGTAAGTTTTAGAGGGAAAGAAATTTTAATTAGGGCAATAAATATTTCAGTTTTAATACTTTGATATTCCAACTTCTTCAATTAACTGATTTATATAAATCTTTCACAAAAGAGATTTTTTTTTATTAGAGAGGTAGGCCACATGAAACTGGCCCACCTTAAACATTGAAGCAGGGGTTATGCAATTTTCCATAATATTTTATGAATAAAACTAAATTTTCAGAATGTTTTGTCTCAATTAGCCACATTTCCCAATGTGTAGATTAGATTAGTTTGTTAAGTCTGCAAAGGCTTGTTTTACATGGAACATCCTGTACTATAGTTTACTGTTTCAAAAATAAATTGCAGATGACAAGTCAATTGCTAGGTCTTATTATCATAAAATAATTTAAGGTAGATGAAATTTTGACTTTCCCAACTATTCTCTTTTTATTCCTGTCTTTTCTTTTTTATATTATTATGAATTATGGAACCTTTTAGTTATGTTATTTATATTCATTTGTCTCTCTCTCTTGTGATATATTCCAGCTCAATAACGTTTTCATAATAATAACTAAAATGGTTAAATAAGTCATCATAATATACTGTTTTGAATCAAAAAATTCCACCATTAATTTTCCAGCATTTGTTTTATGTTATCTCCAGAAGTTCATTAAATCTAATTTGTTTTCACGCCTCCATGTGAAATAAGTCTTGTGTTATCTCACTAATTTTAATCTGACTAATTTAAGCAGTATTACACTCCAAGATACTCAATTAGATATTTATAAAGGATACAGTAAAACTCCTATTTTGTGACCACCAATTGTTCCAAGCAAAAATATGGTCTTTAGGGGGTTCACTGTATTTAACAAAACTGCCAAATCGCTTTCATATTATTGGTTCTTTAACATTTTGAGATTAGAGTTCTTCAACATTTTTATTGGAATCGATCTAATGAATCTCAATTTTTTAACTTGATCTTTTTATTTGTTTCTTGATTTCTCTCTGTCTTATCAGCACCGGAATATTCTGTTGTCTATTGTTTGAGTCAGCATCTTTTTGAGTATCTTATTGAGAATTATCATCATCTTTTTGACGATTCTTTTATATTTGCATCATTTGTTGTTGCATTTGAGGATGAAAGATCTGCAGTTTAGAAAGTTGCAACGTGAAAGATTATCCGTAATGAAATTGTAGTAAGTTTAATAAACTTTGGATGACTTTCCCGAAAGATTGATTGAAAGAATTCAAATTCTGTAGGCCTACCGTGAACTGTTGTCCTAATTTCGATTAATTTTGAGTTATAGTGTCACTTATGGTCATGTGAAGATTACGTTTGTCTGACGTGTTTTGATGTTTTGTTTCAAGATAGATTGTTTGGTCTTTATATTGAAGATTCAGATGCAGAGAAGAGTCTGGATTTAATTTATGACTAAGGGCATTTCGCCACATAAACTTATCCTCGTATAGTAATGGAGTACGAGGAGGTACTGTACGTGAAAAACATTTGATCTGCATTGATCGCCCATAAAAGAAACTGGTTGATCCAGTCTTTTAAAACGATCATGGAACTTAAAATGACATTGATGTCCTATAGGAACAGGCAGCAAATATGTATAAGAATAATCAAAATTAAATTTTTGATTGTGCTCAGTATAATACGAAGATGTTGATTGAGGAAGATTTTTTTAAATTGCATAATTTGCCATTTGTTTCGTCTGGAAATTTCTTCCCTTTTTGAGTAACCACTGATTCAGATAATTAATTATAACTTGTAATAATAGTGTTACAAGTTATATCATCTTTATTCAATTTGTTGAATTGATCGATGCACGGAACCTACAAATTTCAATACTATCTGCCTATTAAATAAAAAAATTCAACATTATTAATACAGTGATTAAAGTTCTATTAATTAAAATTTAAACTCTTTTTCTTCTGGAATACAATCGTTATTAGTTTCCGAAATAATTTTAGCAATATGATCTTCATTTTCTACGTCTGTAATATTCCCAATAGTGACCCGGAAGTTTCGTGGCCCCCTCGCCGATAACGAAAAAAGCTTAAGTTTAAAATTTGAGCTTTCTAGGCCCAGTTGTTATTTCTCTAAGAGCGTATGCAATGCGATGTGAAGAAGAAAAAACGAAAATGCAGGGTTTTTTTTGGCGATTTTTGCACTTTTCAATTGCTATTTCGGCAACCCATTTATAGAAAAACATTGAAATTTTGCATACTACTTAAAAAGACAAATATCTTTAAAATGATATATACAGAATTACTTTAGGCGTTTGGGTGAGGAGAAAGTGACCCCCGAAAATCGGCAACTGATTCCTGTATATGTAATCAGTCAATGACCTTTTCATTTAGAGTGGTGACTCTGGACACTACCGTTATTTTCGATTTTGTTACGGTTACGCGACACTTGGCGATTTGCCGAGGGCGATGCCTTTAGGGAGGGCTTTTCTATAAGAAACTGGCCTTTATTTAGATGCTACAAACGTGAAGAAAAATCGAAGAATTCTAAGTGGTCAATCCGAGAACCGCCGACCAATTATTAGTGTTTATCGGTTTCATGGTGGAAACGAGGGAAATTTGTATTTAAATTATAAATACATCATAAAATTTTCTCAAATATATATACATATTTTGTTTCATTTTGGTTTTTATATTTCACAATAAAAAATTTTATATTATCGCTTAAAAATATACGAAGACAGGATGGCCGAACGATTAAGGTGACAGCCTACCGCTGTGGAGTACCCGGAATCGAATGAAGATGGGTAAAAATAACATTAGGAATTTTTCGGAAAGTGGGCCCTTTCCTCACAACTCGACCACCCCATTGTGGGCCACAGCTAACCCGAAAAGACCATGTTAGAACCAACAGGACGAAAACAATTAAAAGAAAAACACCCGAAAATATATAATTTCGTTTAATTAATGTTATAAAATTCTATTATTATTTATTTTAATTAATTAATTAATTAATTTTAAGTTCTTTAAATAATAAATATATAAGGATAAAAATTTTCATAGATGGCGACTGTAAAAAAAAATTTTTTTTGGGCTACTATTATATCACCATTCGGTAATTCGGCAGAGAAGGTGTGTCTAACTGTCAGTATATTCTATACAACTTCGTTCCTCTATCGAAATGATTATTTTTGGTGTTGTTAAGTAAATTCGATTTAAAATTAATCAATTTCTTCCATAGATAAGGATTTTTAATAACAATTAACCATGAAAGTTATAATTGAACTCGAAGAATGCCTTCAGGATTCCCCAAAATTCAGGTAAATTGAATTCCTCCAAATCAATTTATATTTTCCTAATGAAAACAATAAATAATGGTAAATCATGTATACAAAGATGCTATTGCTGTAGAGTTACGCTTAGAATTTATTATATATATATTTTTAATGCTTTTATATGTCCATATGTTTGAATATATTGGTGTTTTGCAGCATCAACAGAGCAATAGATTTTATATTAAATGTAATTTAATATATTAATCCTTGATTGATGAATCTTTAATGCCTAATTACTATATTGTATTCAGTTAATAGTGAAACATAAGCTGTGTTTAATATTTAATAGCATTTTAAAATTTCAATGTGTTGCATTTTTCTAGAGGTGAAGAATAATTTAAAGTAACATCCTCATTATTATATGTTATTGATTAATTTAACTATTGAGGAAGAAAGTGGATTAAGTATATAACCTGTTTTTTCGAGGATGTTGTAATAATAAATTATATATTGAGAAAACTTATCGTAATGTTTTTATACAATTTTAAAGTGCAAAAGTTTTTAAGTATTTATTTTTGGTATTAGGAAATAAGAGAAAGAAATTATTTTTTTATGAAATATTGAATTGTTGAGTATACGTATTATTACGTTATGAATATTATACTGTAATGCAACGTAAAACAGTTGCATAGGTCAAAACTTTTCAAAATTTGTTTTATGAAGGTATATTTTATGTATTTAATTGATTGAATTCACTCTACGTGTTAAATAACTGGATAAACTGTTGCATAAAAAAACCAATTACTAAAAAGCCAGCAAAATTCCTGTCACTGTTTGCTGTATCCAATCAAAGTTGTAGACTATTTGAATGTGGTTAAGTTTTGATAGTACAATTCCAGGGCTGCTGAGTCGGTAAAAAAACACTCGACTCCGACTCCTGATAATTTTAGTAGGCCGACTCCGGCAAAATTAAATACAGAGTCATTTTACGTGGGGGTCAGAGGCGCTTGTGGGGGTACCCAACTCTGAACGGAGCCTTGTAGGGGTACCCGACTCTGAACGAACCCAAATACTTTTATAGTTAGTATTTTTAATATTTAACTTACATTAATATTTCTTTGTATAAAAAAATTAATTTTTAACAAATATTTAATAAGAGGAGTAAGGAGGCAATAAAATTCTACATCTCTATATGTTTGACTTATTTGGTTGTGTTAATTAGTTGCTGGTATTTTGGTGATTGGTGAATGAATTCAGTTTATATTATAAACTTTATGTATGAGGTAAAAGTTATTTTGTATGATTTTGATTTTTTAAGATATATTTTTTCCATAGAAATTCTTATACGGCAAGTCTTCATTTAATGCTGTTTTGTTTAATGTTGTTTCATTTGCCATTTGATTATAACATCATTGAGAAAAGATTCAAATACATTTGTAGTAATTTGCAATTATTATTGCTGAATTTTGTTTATAAACAGTAAAATTGATTCTGCGAGGTGAAAAATAAATGCTGGATGTTGCAAACACTATTCAATTAGAATATTATTATCCCAATTATATCTTGTTTATATGATTTAGCCTACAGTAGAATTGGTTTCATTATATGTTGTTTCATGTAATGTTGCAATTTCCAAGAACCTGTCAATGACATTAAGTGAGGACTTGTATTTTTAATTATGGGAAAACCAAATTGTTTTTATTTTAAGTAAATCTGAGTTGCAACCATTTCTTAGTCTTATATTTTATAAACAAAATTTTTTTATAGAAGTATGGATTAATTCTAATTGTTTATATTTTTTGAGTGCATTCTTTGTCAATCTTATCCAAAGAGACAAAATTGACTATAATGACATTAAAAATTTTTAATATTAAATACAGGTAACCCCCGAATAACACAGCACTTCTATAGCACGGATTCACTCTAACACGGTTCGAGAATTGGTACCATTCCCCATATAACACGGTACTTTTATAGCACGGATTTACTCTGACACGGTTCGAGAATTGGGTAAAACCCTCGTACAACAGGAAATGTAATAAATTTTTACATACTTAAGTAATAATAGTTCACGAAAATTATTATTTTCGTGAACTCTTAGTACTTAAGTATGTCAATTTTCTCTTCTCGCCTTCTGTCGATGCACGTGGTCCTTCTCGAAACTTGTTTCAATGTTGCCAGATCGCGACCCTTCTGCTTCTGATGTTGCCAAATGTTTTTCCCTTATTCCATACTTGCTTTATTCTTCATAAGTGCTTAGCACCATATAAGGAAATTTATAAAGATCTTTTAACTAGAATCAAGCAATCTAAAATTACATACATTTTGCAAAAGGTAAAGCGTGGATCTGAAGATAATGCAGAAAAATGCTCAGAGGATAAGGATAACTTGCCAAAAAGAAAACGCTCTCGGTTAATTAATAGTGTTTTTAGTGATGACGAAGAAAACATTGTTTAATTTATATTAATATGTATCACTTAAAAAAATTTTAATGAAGATATTTATCTTAATTATGAAAATATACTAGCATGTTTTTTAATTTTTGGAACCTAACCCTCCTTTTCGTATTAGTTCTTTGTTTCGTATAACACGGATTCGCATAACACGGCAATTTTTTGGAACGTAACTACCGTGTTATACGGGGGTTACCTGTATACAAATTGTAAGAAAACAATGATAAATTTTGTGTGTTTATTTTTCTTGCAATATTAAGTATTTAAAAAATTAAGGCTATTGCTAAAAAAGGCAGTTAAGGCTTTTTTTCTGAAGAATCCAGGATCAAATTCAGGTAAAGGATTTCAGGAGTTTTTCATGGAAGATCTGTCCTGGATATGTCAGGCTTTGTCCCTCACCATCCAGCTCCCCCCATTATGGGCATGGAAAAAAGACTCTTATTGCCCACAGAGTGGAAAGAAAAATCAGTTTTTTTCATATTGAATGAAAAACTATTAAAAAAAAATATACAAGAAATATAAATAACAGAATGATTAAATATAAATCAAGTAAAAGTATTTGTTTGTTGGGCTACAATTTGAAAAAAATTGTAGGCCTATAAATTTTCACTGTTGTCTGCCTTTCCTTAATCTCAAGAATGGAGTTAGGCAAAAAAGAAGACCGGATATGGAAAGCTAAGGGGCAGGAGGCCCGATTAACTGTATATGAACTTCTCATGCAAACTGGAAATCGTGTTGTTTCAATTAAAAATTTTCCCCTGAAAGGAGTTAGGTGATCAGCACGACTCTATTGTTAAAGGAAAAGTATGAAGTACAGGGACAAGTTTCTACTAATTTGAGGTGGAGATCATATATTTTAAATGAAATAAATTAAAAATATGATTAAAAATTGCATTCCAGCATTGTTATGATGTCACAATAAATAATTGCTTGTTTATTTTTATCTTATTTATATATTATGTTATTTTATTTTTATTTTCATTGAGTTTAAATTTTATGTATGTTCTATATTATTTAGAATGTTTTTGTGTTATTTTTCATTTGAATTTTTGTGTTGTTCCACCTGATGAAGATCTATATGACTAAGTTGGAGTGTTTTCAGTAATTCAATCCGGCAAAATTCAATCTTATTCTAACTTAGAACTATTCCCCTTGGAATTCCGACAAAATCAATCCTTAACTTAAGGTACAGAATTTCTTACAACTACAAATCCTAACCATCACCTCAATTATACTAGGAACCTTTTTCCAACTCAAGCCTTTTCCTATTCCTCGATCCACAAATTGAAAACTGCAATCGCCTTGGACTATTACCTATTGGACACCTCGTTCACTGCTACTAGCAGACCAATGCTTATTCCTGGCAGGAGCTCACCTCTGATGTCTTCACTTGAGCTACGCTATTTATAGTCTGAGGTGACGTCACAGTTTCTAAGTGAGACACTCCCCTCATTTACATACTTATACATAACATTCACTTTTTTCTTGTTTATCTGGTAGCTTAATACCCGACAATACTTTGTTAACCTTTTACAGTCTTTTCTTGAACAATTATTGGGATGTTTCCTTTAAGGTTTAACAAGTCCCTAAAAGTCTGTGGGGTTTGTCCCCCCCCTTTCAGTGCGGGCTTACTATCTGCCACTCGGGCGTGCACGTGAGTGCAAGCTATGGCGCTTTCTTTTTTCGTCGGTGAGTTGGTTTTATCTTCTCTTTTTAACTTTCTAAGGTGACGGGTGTGGAAACCTTCGTCCTAACTAAACATAAGCCCCAAACAAAATATAATAAAAGCAAAATAAAAGTAAATAAAAATAATGCTCGGACTTGGTTCCTTACAAATTTTTCACTGAATATACAGTAAGGGATGTGGTTTATGGATTCCAGAGGAACTGCACAGTTTTTACTATAGCTTACAGTGACTGTAAATGAAAACGTTCAGTTCTCTTTTGCGCATGTGCGTGGACATGTGCAGTGAATGGATTGAATGGAGCATACGTGTGCACATCTGACAGACACACAAAAGTCCTAACATAAGCACTTTGCCACTATAGTGGAGCATGGTAAAAAGCAAATTTTATAAATTATCATCTGTCAAGATTATCATTTCATGCATCTTAGGTATTTTTTTAAAAAGTCATTAACTAATTTCTAAATTGTTTTTAACATATGCTGTTTAGCCCAAATCATGTCTTATATTAATACATAAACTGCAGTTAATATTAGACTCTTGTTGGACATATTGAACAATGAAGTAAAATACAGCAATTTAATATTAAATTTAATAAATTTTAATATGTAACTTTAAGCATATATTGTACATTAAATCTTGCAACAAATTTAAACATCTTTTGGTTCCTATTTGAGCCAACAAAGAATATTAGCCATTTTTCAAAGTTGAAATAGAATCTTATGAGTAAAATGAATGTCTTGATGAGAGACATTGTCTATTGGCTATACTTTGATGAAAAATGTTTCAGCAAGTGAAAAGAAGAAACTTGCTCTACCTGATTTAGTATTTGAGTTTAGCAGAAACTTTGTAAAATATTGTTATATTTTCTGTTTCTGTTCTCTCAATGTATTTTTTGTAGTCCTGGTCTAAGATCATTTTGGTTTTAAAACAGTGGGAAGATTGCTCAGCTTTCTCACAATGCCTTGACATATTTTAAAAAATATATTATCCAAAATATTGAATACTTCACTGTTAATTATGACTAAGATAAATGCAAATAGAATTTGAAAGTATTGCGCATGAAGATGGCATCTAAAAGTATGTTTTCAGTGAGAAAACACAAATTTCACTTAGAATGTGGATGTATGTATAATTTTTTTTTTTTTCAGTAGATATAAATGAAAGTGCCAGTATATTTTATTTTCTGCAGCCTTTTATTTTGAAGTCATTTCAATGACTACAGCAAATACTGTCTATATTAAAACTTAGTAAAAAAAAAAATGTGTGTGAATTGAAATTTTGAAGCAATGGTCATTTATTACAATAAATCTGACTTACGGAACCTTTAACCGATGTGTGTCACTTTTTCTTTCAAAAATCAAACGTTTTCCTAACCCCTTCTGGGTTCTTCATCAGGATAACAGCTGGATCGAATATCGATTTCAAAAAGTTTTAATGATTCCGAACTTGACTCGTTCCATTCGCTTAATCCGTCACGTGATGTAATTGAAATTGTTCTATTTTTGACGGTCGATGTTCACACTCTCTTCCACACAACAAGCACTAACGGAGGAGTTAAATTACTTGGAAAGTATCGCCAGATCACACGGGTACCGAAATATTATACAAAAGATCGCAGAGCGCCACAAACAAACACAGGCTTCTTCCAACATTGTAATCAACACGCAAAACACAAGCAATAATATAGAAAATAGGAGGATACCCATTAAGTTCAACCCGCTATTGAAGTCCCTGTACAACACCATTGCTAAACAAAGAAATGTTAACATAGCATACAGAAGATGCAGCACCTTGTTTGACATCCTACGTAATGAAAAAGACGGACCCAGGATGGAGAGGATATCAGGAGTATATAAAATTCCTATAAGGGATAACAGGTTCAACAGAGACCTGGTATATGTGGGATCAACTAAACGCTCGTTAGAGGTTAGATTAAAAGAACATATTTCGGATATACAGCACAACAGGCACACAACCTCACTCTCCACATATGCCACTGATCCCGAAATAGTGGCGGACTTCAATGCAGCACGGATAATTGCCTCCACACCACATATTCACCAACTAAAATGGCTAGAAGAGATGGAAATTTTTAGGGCGTATGACAAATCCGAGTGTATTAATTCAAGAGAAGAGATCAGCCTTTCCAGGGCGTGGCAAAAACTACTCCATAAAGAGTGATAACGAAATTATATTGAGCCGTAAAAATAAATGATATTAGGGAACACGAGAATATTAAATAATCGTTATATCTCAATAACATGTTTTGGATCGTTCTCTTAAATTTGAACATCGACCGTCAAAAATAGAACAATTTCAATTACATCACGTGACGGATTAAGCGAATGGAACGAGTCAAGTTCGGAATCATTAAAACTTTTTGAAATCGATATTCGATCCAGCTGTTATCCTGATGAAGAACCCAGAAGGGGTTAGGAAAACGTTTGATTTTTGAAAGAAAAAGTGACACACATCGGTTAAAGGTTCCGTAAGTCAGATTTATTGTATTATATACAACCCGATGTGCAGTGATAGTATATTAGTATACAATGGTCATTTCCTTGTTGAAGTCAACCTAAGACTGAAAACATGTTTAAGATGGAAAGTTTATAATGTACAGGTTTAACTGTGTTTAAATTTTCATTTTAGTTAATAAAGTGTAAAAGTGAAACAATGAAAATGCTTTTATTTTGTACCATGCATTTCATAATAATAATAAATATATCAAATAAATTTATAAGCATATAAAGAAGAAGAAAAATTTTAAGAATATAAAGCAGTAGAATTGGATATATATTGATGTAAATTAGTATCCTAAACTAATTTACATCAATATATGTAAATTATATTGATTTACATATATTTAAATATGTAAATCATTATGAAGTAAATCAAAAATAAAGTAAAATAAAGTTTGTAAAAATTCAAAAATATTTAAAAATAATTCAATTTTTATAGATCTGCACTTCAACAAAATGAAGATGATATAGATCAGCTTGAACAAAAATTAGAAAAGGTAAGATATTTTAGAATTTGTATGATATATTTAAGGAATCTTTCATAAATATAAAAACATTTTTATTATTAAAGAATTTTTGCCAGGACATTTTATAAAGCTATTCAACAATTATTAAATAATTAGTTTAGATTTGTAAAATAAACTGTTTTTAAAATTCACATATGTAGTATTATGATTAAAATTCCATTACTAAAAATTAAATTTTTATTCTTATTCCAAACTGAATATGGAAATGAAAGAAACATTAATGTATTAATAACAGATTTATAAACATTATTATTATTTATTAAATTATAGTAAAAAATGTATTAAAATATTTTGTGATACTGGGTAATTGCATAATTCATAAAAATAAAATAGTATAGTTAAAATAATTATTCTCACAAGGAATTATGAATTTTTTCAATAATATATGTATCAAAAATATACAGTGGGTGATCGGTTAACGAACGTAATTCGTTCCAAGACTTTGTTTGCTATCTGAATTTTTCGTTAACTGATTATTGATTTATCATAGGTTTTCATGGGAATTAATTTGATTAATTTGTTCTAGAGACCTCAAAACATAAAAAATATATACTTTCTTACTATGCTTATTTATATGTAATTATAAAAATACATATATACACAGTCTTGCATTTTTATTAGTCATGTTTTTTCCATTTGTGGGGGTTAAAGAATCTGTCCAATGTCGATTGCTTTTCTCTTTTCTACAAGATTTTTCGGAAGTAATTAATAGCATTGTAATTGTAGAGATCCCCAAGCTTATTAACCTCACCCTGGTTTGGATGTGATTCTAAGACTGTTGTTCTGACATCCTCCCACTTCTTCAAAAGATAATACTTTTTAAATAAGCAGATATCAGAATTAATCTTTTTCAGAAGAAAATATATCTCGCCAAGTTTCTTGGTGTTCTTCATTCAAGAGTTCGTGTTCTTCTGTCATCAGATCCATTTCAGGTTCCATTATGAGCTCTTCAGTGTTCTTTATTTCTCAGATGTGATTTTTGTTACTCCTTTAGCTGTGCAAGTCTTCTTGATTATATTGTATCTTTCTTAGATAAGATTGAACTGTGGCCTACTGTAGATCTGTTCAAGCCATACTGCCCAGTAACATCAGACATCTTCTCTGCCCACTCTCTACCTTTGCTATTATACTCTCACCTCTTGAAAATAAAAACCAACGCGAAACTTAACGAGTGCCCACCTGACAGTCTTGCAAATACTATAAAAGAAATGTTTCTGTCAGAAAAATAAAAGGCTGGAATTACAAGGGAGAGTTTCAAAGTTCGGAGGTATATATATATCAGTATATATTGGGTTGAGAGTTGATGTTGATGTCTCCCGCACTCCGAAAAGTTTTGAATTGTCACCTAAAGACAAGGGAAGACCAATTGGTATTCATTATTTTACGTTGCTTTTTTTTGTGTATATTCTTTTCATTCATTCATTCATTTTATTAAAATAACATGCGTTACATTTCCTGATTTCGCTGAGCATTATCAGGATTTAAAAACACTAAATAATTATGTCAATGAATACAGCATATTAATAAACATTAAGAGTAAAATAGTACAATGATGGGAGGGCAACAAGGATATTATACAGGCGTAATATATATTTATACAAGTAAAAATTTTTTTTTTTTTTGACAAAATAAGATAGTGTAAATATACAGTAACAATTAGAAGTAACGAAGATAAATAAAATTAGAATCACAACAATTAAATGCAAGTTAACAAATTATAAAAAAAAAGCGAACAGCAGAAGTGCAAAAATATCATAGATGATACATATCATATAGAAATGAGTATATATACAAATTATGATATATAATAATAAGACAGTATAGTGTAAAGAAGTAACAATCATTTGCACCAAAATACTATGTTTCGGCCACAAGAAAATCCGCTAGTAGTTGAGCAATGGAAGTTGAACAATGTTCTCAACACCACTGAACTCCGCCAAGCATCTATGCATAATATTCCGACATAGTAAGATTCACCAGAAGTTGAAGGATTGTCTTCACGCTGCATCATTTATATTCACTGGAAGTTGAAGAAACTTCGTCCACACCACAATTATTTCAATAGGAAGAAAACCACTGTAAATCACAGAAATTTCAACCACCAGCTACAAACCGATAAACACTGAGACGATCATACCTAGACGATCACATCACAATGGCGCACCAGAATAGAACACATAATATAATACACAAGTACACCACAAAGCATGTATTGATTTTGTGTATATTCTGTGAGATGTTTGTTGTCTATTGTCCGAACATAAAAATCTTTCACGAAAGTGTTCGTTATCCGATTTGTTCATTAACTGATCACCCGCTGTACATTAATTTTTCATAATTCACGTAAATGTTAAATGTTCTTCAATGACATCTATTAAAAGAAAATACTATTACAAATGTTATAAATAATTTTGTAATTGCCTTTAAAATACCTAAGTAATTCAAAACAATGTAAATCAGGTTAACTAGCATTGTCTGTTTTTCAAACCTAAACTAGGCTATTATTATATAAAGGTATTTTGAAAAGTAACATGTTTTTTAATTTGAAAATTTTTTAGGTAATGCATTTTATTCAAATGGAATATATAAAATAAAATATATGCATAAATCTATTCTTCTATGTATGAACTATAAATATTTAGCACTTATCCGAACACTTCATGAGGTTATACCAGTTTGGAAATACCAGTTTTCCAAAAGCATTTCTTGAGAGTTGACTGAATTATACACCATGTATTTCAGTTCTATGTCTATTTGAAACTTCTTCCCAAAGAAATTTTTTTATTGGTTTGAATAGATTGAAATCATTAGGTACTAAGTCAGGACTGAAGGGTGGATATTGCAAAAATTTCCAATCATAGGCCACAGTTTTTTTCCACAACCTTCTATGCGATGTGAACATGATTGTGAAGCAATGGGTTGCTGCTTTCTTTTCACTTTGCCTTTTATCATAGATAGCATGATGCAACTTCTTTAATTAAAATAATGCAGCATGCATCAGAATTGTTAACATTTTCTCCATGAAAAGAACACAATAAGTAAAAACCCTCTTATATCCCAAAACATTATAACCATCAGTTTTACAGTGAAGGGGATGCATTTAAACTGGGGAAGAAGTGTTCTTCCAAACCATACTAGCATTTTTTGATCAGACATGAAGTGAGAAATCCAACACTTGTCACTTCTCGTAGTTTCCTCAAGAAATGCATCCTCCTCCATCTGCAGCAATCCTGGTGGTATTGCTAGTGCTCATTCTCAATGAAGTCTTGTTTATCCATTAATTGTTTTGTACCCATTGTGAGCTGGTCTTACAGTACCCCAACTTTTCATGAACCAGTGTCATAAGCAGTACTTAAACTCTCTGCTAAAATCTCTGCTAGGGACTATCAAGAATAAAAGTTGTCTTAATCTGTCCAGATGCTGAACGTGGATGGCTAGGTTGCTCATTGCATAGGCTTGTTCACCCTTGTTTGAACATTCCAAAATGTTAAGTGTAATCCTTGTTTGGAATAATCCAAGCAATCTTAAGTATACACTTCCAATATTTCAGCATAGCTTTGTGATGGTTTTCATTGTTTTGTCCAAAGAAATCATACTACAGTTGTTTCTCTGTATTGAATGTAGTAAGAAATGCTTTTTTAACCAACCTACTGTATATCGCCTGCCCTGAGGTGGCAGTACTATTTTTTTTCCAAATCTTTATCAAAGTGAATGCGACAGAAAAAAAAAGATGATACTTAGTGAAATACCATCAAAATAATAATGTTACAGCATTGCATTAATGCATTAAAGATTGGTCATAGGTGCTACCTGCCAAAATAGCCTCTCAAAACCAATATCAGATTAGTCCAGCAACCTGCATTCTACTGATTGAATTTTAGATAACTTGGGACATTATGTTGTGTGTTTTGAGCTAGAAGGTCCAAAAATAAATACTATGACTTGACGACTTTTTAATTAACATATACTTACAAAATAAAAAGCCTGTTCAGTGATTACAAAAGAAACATTAGTCTAGTACATAAAAGTTATAGCAAAAAAAAAAAAAATACATAATCCAAACAACAAACAGTTGTAATATACATGAGTAACTAGACATTGTTGTGATGTTATCAGTGAACAAACTTTGGAAATTGGGAAACTCTATCTGCTCATGCCTTTAAGTTGAGAGCTGTAGTAATGGGATATGGAATGAGGTTCTGATAAAATTTGTCTTTTCTCAAGACATTTCTTAGGTGAGACAACTTAAGGCGGTCATACACGTTAAGTTAATCCTCAAAGGATTAACCATGCATGCCTGACCTTGAGTAATTCCTGATAGTGTGTGGGGGAAAATTTAACAGTTTTGGCAAACTGTACTGACAACTGAAGTAGAATCGAAAAACCATTTGATTTTCCTGAGTAGTGTCAGACTACGCAGGCTGATCTTAATGTGTGTGCCATTGTGTCGTTCAGTTGTGAGGCCACTGAGTAGTGAGAACAATGTCTCGTGAATGTTTGGAAGAATTATTTTCTATAACCTTATTAACTTTTATTATTTATAACCTGAAAATTAATTTTTCAGGTTATAAATTATTTTCAGATCAAAAATTTCTTGAGTAAATTAAAATTATAAATAATTTTAATATTTAGAAAACTTCTCAATTCATTTCTTTCGTTTTCATAAAACATCTTGATACTCTATATCATTTTCTTTTACATTTTAAAAAATTTATTGTTTTAATATCCAAGTAAATTAAAACATGACAACTTAAAATAAGACAAAGTTTAATAAATTCTTTTTAATTATTAAATTATAAAATTAATTTGCGATAATAATGTTTACAATTTGTACTAATATCGGATGTGGTTGAGAATTATTAATATATATTCGTCTATAAAATTTAATCCATGAATTTTTTTGGTAGTAAAATCGACTTGCCATTGTCTTTCGCTGATAATTGATGCTTTTTAACAGAATCTATAGCCCA